CCCACTGCAACTACATAGCCAAAAAGGCATTAAGAGTTGTTAACCTAATCCTACGTAGCTTTTTCTCTGGTAATATCACACTACTAACCAGAGCATACAAAACATTTGCTAGACCAATACTTGAATACAGTTCATCAGTCTGGAACCCACATTACGTATCTGATATTAGAACAATTGAGAAAGTCCAGAAATATTTCACAAGAAGAGTTCTCCACTCCTCTACTCGTTGTAGAATACCTTATGCCACCAGACTTGAAATTCTAGAACTAGAAAACCTTGAATTACGCCGTCTTCGGTCTGACTTAAGCATGGTATACAAAATCATACATTGCAATGTCCTACCTGTCAATGAATACTTCAGCTTCAACCATAACAACACAAGAGCACACAATAGATACAAACTCAAAGTAAACCGCACCAAACTTGATTGCAGGAAATACGACTTCAGCAATAGAGTGGTCAATGTCTGGAATACTCTACCCGACTCTGTAGTTTCTTCCCCAAACCCCAAAAACTTTAACCTTAGACTGTCTACTATTGACCTCACCCCTTTCCTAAGAGGTCTGTAGGGGGCGTGCATAAGCGCACCAACGTGCCTACCGTCCCTGTCCTATTGTTTCTCTTATTCTTTTATTTTTCTTATATGTACCCATTTCATGTATTCACAACTATGTATACATTTATACTTATTATCTTGTAAACAATTGGCAAATCAAATCAAATAAATAAATAAATAAATAAAATAAATAAAATGACTGTGCTCTTCTTGCTAAATGGCTTGAGACTCCAGATTTTATTGGGGCAATGGTGAGAACCCTGATAGCGCATATTCTGATGGGAATCTTGCTTGGAACTTTGTCAGGAACTTATTAGAAATTAAAACAGAACTAACCACACTGAAACAGCACCTAATCCCAAGTATTGCAATAACTTTTAGAAAAAGGCAAAGGCTGTATGTTATTTGATAGACATTGAGACTGTTGTTATAAAATAAGATAACTTTTATCATCATTTACCTGTATGCACCATGGCACACATTAAAATGAAAATCTAATGCTCCACTCTTGAAAGAAGAAATGTCACCCACTGTACAATGTTACCATCCCAAGTATAACTATAATAATATAATAACAGCAGATGCACCAAAAATGCCAAGTTATAAAAAATGACACCATTACAGTATATTAATCGCAGTCCGCTTTGAATACATAGTGGAAAAAAGTGCCTTGAGAGGTAACAAGGTTGATTTTATATGGAACAAAGCCAAATCTAGTTGTTCTGCTTCAGATATCATGAAACCTTCTCCCAGAAAGCAAAAATGAAAATTGAACATAGAGAGGATGCATAAATCCCTGACAACACTATGGGCCCCAGTCAAGCAGCACTTATATGCCAGGTCCTAGATAGAAGGACGTAAACTTCATCCCTAATCCTCACCAATTTCTGTACTGTTGTCCTGTCTGAAGCAGTAATACTTCTGAATCAAACAATAATACAATACGATGGGAGTTTCTAAGTTTCTCTCCATGCATCCCAGATGCCAGGGAGTGATTTGAGAGGCCGGGACCCAAGTACCCCAGTAATTTTGATCAATTAGGAGAATCGGCTGACTGGCAGGATTCCAGAGATCGCCCTAATTAAATCATGAGCCTTGAGCCAAACTTCAAAAACCTTGAATACTTTATTAGGAGTGACATGTTGGCATGACCTGTATGTAGCCGATTCTGAGAAATATAATTCACTGTCACCCTTGATCCTGATTTTCCCCCACCCCTCTGGGTGTATCATAATTCATATTCTCCAACGAAACAGGTCCATAGCCAAGAGTCATCAATTAGTCTCCAATTAGAGATTTGTGCGGCAGAAACTCCAGTCGCCTAGTTACAATCACTGTAAGATATGAATTGAATGCACTTTCGATTCCAAACTGCTGCATTGCTCTGTCAAACTCCTCCCCCCATCTTTCTGTTGGCAACTATAAAATGGGCATAGAAATGTGTTATGAGTTGGCACAATCATCCTTCTATAGAAAGTGGTAAGGGCAGGGGAAGGAATGTGTACTCTTCCCAAACAATGAAGGAAATGCAGTCTCTGCTGTGCCTGCTTCACCAGTATTTCACTGTTGTGTGGCCAAGTTAACCTACTTATTAACTGCACTCCCAGAAACGTAATATTACTAACCACCTCCACAATTCAATCATTAATCTTCTTGTGCCATATCCATCATTGGACATTGGTGATCCTATTTTTATCAACAGCTGCATGACAACTGAGTGCGGCTGAGTTTTGTCCAAACCAGTCTCTTAGACTTTGAAGCCATGATATTCTTCTTCTCCCTGGATATTGTTTACCTTCAATCTTTCCCTGGAGTATGCTGTATTTTTCTGAGTGTCACAACACATGTCTGAAATATTTTAACTTTTTGTTTTATTGTTTTGGTGATTTCTTTTGGCTTTCCAGGTGGGTCATCACCTCCTCATTTCTGATCTTGTCAACCCAATGTCAACTCACAAAAATTTTGTACAAATGTTTTATAGTTGTCAACAGAAAGAAGGGGGGTTTCAAAGAGCAGGCAGCAGTGATCGAAAGTACATTTCATTCATATTTTCTTCAAAGACTGATTAGATGGCTGAAGCTTCTGCCGCAAAAAAATCTAATTGGAGAGCATGATTGATGACTCTTGGCTATGGACGTGGTTCATTGGATGACATACCCAGAGGGGTGGGGGGGAAAGCTGGATCAAGGGTGACAATGAATTACATATCTCAGAGTCAGCTACATCCAGGATAATGCTGGCATGTTAACTTCTAATAAATCCTTTGCAGTTTTGGGAGTGTGGCTCGAGGCTCATGATTTAATTAGAGTAACTGCCGGAATCCTCACACCCAGCTTGTACGTAACAGTCAATCATCAATACATAGAGGTATATGTCCTTGCCAGCCTTTTTGTGAAATTGATGATGATCACTTTTGTTTTCCCAGCATTTAAAGCCAACCTGTTCTTATTACATCAGTCCACCAAACCCTTTACCTCCTCCCTGTAAGCACCATCACTGTCATCCTAAATGAGCCCCACCACTGTTGTATCATCTACATACTTCACAATATTGTTGATAGCAAGCCTCACACAAACATTCCTGGGTCAACAGGTTGAACAACACTTTGAATTGCATTCAGGAGCCGCTAATGATGTAATGCAGGTGAGCATTACATCATTCCCTAATTATTAAAATCATGGTTCCATTTTGAATTAAGCTTATGAAAGTTCCCCAGGACTCTGGAGAAAATCCATTCTTAGATGAGTGGAATTAATTAAATCCAGTTTATATAGATATAAAAGTCAGCCAAAATGTATTATTTCATTAGAACAAAGACTTGCAATGGGAAATATTTTTCTTTTGGTGTCTGGCATTCTCAAATTGCCTCCTTCTCTTGATTTATGGGAGATGTTCCATTTTGAATTAAGCTTATGAAAGTTCCCCAGGACTCTGGAGAAAATCCATTCTTAGAATTATGGGATATGTTTTCCTTCCTTCCTGTTTGTTGTTGTTGTTGTTGTTTTAACAGAATAACAAAATAACACAGTAACAGAATTGGAAGAGACCCTGGAGATCTTCTAGTCCACCGCCTCTGCTCAAGCAAGATACCCTATACCACTGGTGTCAAACTCGCCGTGTCATGATGCCATTGTGTAATGTCTCATGATGTTTTTTTCCCTTCATGGAGCTGAGCCTGTACATGATGCATCCAGTCTGTGGGCCACCAGTTTGACACTCCTGCCCTATACCATTCTGGACAAAAGATTACGTTGAAAGAAGAGAATTTTAACCAGAATGGTTTATCTTCAACAGCCTAATTGGGCTGAAAGTATTAACTTTGATTAAATTTTTGACACACACGTCTCAAATAAAAGTTTTTATTCCAATAGAGATGGGAATGTTATGTGCAGTTCAGGGGAAGAGATGGCAGCAACTAACCCTATTGCTGCTCAGCTCTCCATTGAGTTGTGCTAAATACTAATTTAGTATTTATGGGATGGAGTGTTTGATGGGAATAGGAGGCATTAAAAGAGAAAGTTAATGGGGTTTTTGCTTGTGGCTCTCTACTAGGAAGGAATGGCAAAAGTGTTTTTGAGGGAGATTGCAAATTACCATTGTACCCTCAAATCACATACAATTATACTTTTAGGTATGTCTCTGTCTCACCATAGCCTGTAAACCAATTTGCTCTTCAGGGTAATTTGATCTCTACTTCAAATGTACCTGTGATGAAATTCTTCACTTACTCAAACAAATCACCCATGATGCACACTTTTCTGTATGCTCAAATAGGACCGGGGTGAGATTCAATTTTTAATAAACGGTTCTGTGGGTGTGGCTAGGTGGGCATGGCCATGTGACTGGGTGGGCGTGGCTTCTTTTTCTTTTTGCAGAACCCCACCCTACTATTTTTCCTCATGGGCCTCAGGGAAGCCTCCTGGGGGCATTTTTGCTCCCAGAGGCTTCCCAGGGGCCCAGGAAGGCAAAAAATGGAGTGCAGAGAGAGTGCACAGCATCCCACTCTGCTCCAAGTTTGGGCCTCCTGGGCAAAGTGAGGGGGATCCCAGCCCAGCTGATCATCAGAACAGTAGGGAGGGAGGAAAAGAAATACCTTAAAAAGTGACTTGGTGAGGGAGAACGCAGTCAGCGATGCAGGGCATGCGTGCAATGTCGCGCATGCACAATAAGGACTGATGGCTGGGGAGGGGAGGGTTGTGCAGAGAGGGAAGGGGCCAGACAGGGGCACAATTTGCTGGTTCTCCAAACTGTGCAAAAACATAACAATCGGTTCTATAGAACTGGTCCAAAGCGGTAGAATCCCAGCCTGAATAGGACCCCAAAAAGAAAGGAATAAAAACAGGATAAGTGTGTGTGCTTTTTTATAAGCATCAAAATATCAAACAGTATTTTGAAATAATAAATGGAATTTAAGGAAAACACCTACTAAATATTGCTTAATATTTCATTTTGACATCAAATGTTCTTTTGTATTGAGGTCTGGTCTTAGGAAAATAATGTAGCATTTGGGGAAGAAAATGAGTAACAAAAGGCTAGCACTGGAGGCCAAGATGGAGAAGACCTGCACAGCCACCATATATTTCCCTTTGGTGCTCAGATAGGTGGGGACAAAAGTCACCCAGACACTGCAGAAGACCAGCATGCTGAAGGTGATCAGCTTGGCTTCATTGAAGGCTGCAGGCAGATTCCTGGCCAGGAAAGCCACTGTGAAGCAGATGATAGCCAGGAAGCCCATGTAGCCTAGGGCAATGTAAAACATGATGAGACTACCTTCATTGCATTGCAGAATAATTGCTCCAGACTGTGAGTGCATATCAGAGTCAGGGAATGGGGGAGAAGTCCCCAACCAGATGCTGCAGAGGACAATTTGGACACCAGAGCAAGAAAGGATGACAGAATTGGACAGGCTTTTCCCTAGCCATCTCTGAAATTTATTCCCTGGTTTTGTGGCCAAGAAGGCTAACACCACCATGAATGTTTTGGCCAAGATGGTAGAAATGGCAGCTGAAAAGATGATGCTGAAGGCTGTTTGTTGGAAAAGGCAAGTGACTCTTCTTGGCTGGCCAATGAATAGGAAGGAAGTTAAGAAGGAGAACAGGAGGAAGATGAGGAGGATATAAGAGAGATCTCGATTGTTGGCTTTGACTATGGGAGTTTCTTGGAATTTAATGTAGATTCCCAAGACAAAGCCTGTTACTAAAGACAGGAACAAGGCAAGAAAAGCTAGGATGATGCCCAAATTTTCTTGATAGGATAGGTAAGTTTCAATCTTTGGTATACATTCATCTTGGTTGATGTTTGGATGTTGATCCTCTGGACATTTCATACATTTTTCAGCATCTGAAAAAAACAAGATTAACATTTCCATAATGCATGTTCTTCCATCAGATGCATAGTTGGAGTAAAACTAATGATGGTTTGGATGAATATGTCTGGAAAAAGGTAATATGCAAAAAATGGCTTAAAATTTTAAGCAGTATTACACAGAGGGAGAGTGCTAGAGGAAAATAAGAATCTGCAAAATTCTCAGGGTACCTCTTTTGTATCATTGGCATCTAAGACTTCAGGAGGGAGGGGAGGGAGGGAAAGAAGGGAGGGAGGGAAGTTAAGGGAAGGGAAATATCAAAATTTCTCCAGGGACATAAAAAAACAAGACAGCATATTCACTGGAAGATGAAGAACACAAAATGCCATCAAGAAGATGAAGAACACAAAATGCCATCTGCCTTCTAATTTCAAATTCTAACTTCTAACTCCCTGTATTTTGATGTCCTGGTCTTCAGACAACCTCCAAGATTATGATTTATAACTCCCTTGAAATGAAGTGGAGTCACCACCTTCCATGGTGGAGATGGTTCCTTCTGCACAATGATGACAATCATAGCAACAGGTGAGCTTCCCTTCCTGTTCCACCTTCATGAATCCCGGATGGCAGGTTTCCACACACCTGAAAGAAGGCAGGGGCTGAGGAGGGAGAAGAAGAAAATCAAGGAAATGAACATTTTCAGAAAAATGGAAAGGGAAGGAAGATGTTGACTTTGCTTTGGCTAATAAACCACATTATTTGCATGACTGGCTCAGCCTACTTCCCTTTACAATGAATAGTTTCTATGAAAGTTAAAGACAATATTTTTTGAAGACTCCTGAATAGATTTTTCTTTTATTTCATACCAAGATCAAACCTTAAACTGGTGGAATGAGGCCACCATATTGGCTTTATTGTTGCCCAGAAACAAATCACTTTAACAAATTTAACAGATTTAACAAATAATCAGAGTTGGAAGGAACCCTGTAGGTCATTTAGTCCAACCCCTTCCACCCAAGCGGGAGACCCTATACCATTTCTGACAAATAGCAGTCCAATCTCTTTTTGTAAGTCTCAAGTGATGGCTCTCCCACAACTTCCAAGGGCAAATCCTGTTCCATTGGTTGATTGTTCTCACTGTAAGAAAGTTTCTCCTTATTTCCAGGTTAAATCTCTCCTTGTTTAGTTTCCAGCCATTATTCCTTGTCTGGCTTTCGGGTGCTTTAGAAAAGCTTAGAAATAGCTTGACCCCCTCTTTTCTGTGGCAGCCCCTCAAATATTGGAAGACTGCTATCCTGTCTCCCCTGGTCCTTCTCTTCACTAGACTAGCCATGCCCTGTTCCTGTAACCATTCCTCATATGTTTTAGTCTCCAGTCCCCTAATCATCCTGGTTGCTCTTCTCTGTACTTTTTCCAGAGTCTTAACATCTTTTTTATAATGTGGTGACTTTCAGTGTATTCTACTGGTAATAATGGACAAGGCTACAAATAGATCATACTCTGCATCTCTCGATATTCACACAGCATGTTATCTTCTAGCAAACCCAGGGGGGGGACTTCTACTAGTTTACCCTAGTTCAGGTGAATCGGTAGCTAATTTTACCATTTTTAATGGCCAGTTCGGGGAATGGTGAATTCCACCCCTGGCTGACCCCACTAGCCCTGCCCCTCCATGCAGTCCCCACATTGCAGGTTTTGGATGCCAGGTAAGTACAGGGCCCAAGTGGAGGTTCAGGGATGGCAAAAAAAATGGGCCTCCTGGAGGCTCTGGAAGGCTGGAAATGGGCCCATTTCTGGCCTCCAGAGGGCTTCTGGAGCCCGGGGAGGGCAAAAAGCCCCCCTGCCACCATGGTGTAGGAGGCCGATTAGGCCATGCCCACCCTGGCCATGCCCACCTAGCAACCAGGTAGAGAACCAGTTTCTCATATTTTTGAAGCCCATCCCTGAGCATACCCCACTTGAGCATATTGGCCTTACACTTAGACACTCACACCCTAAACTTACTCAATGACCTATGAGTAATATAGGGGAGATCAGATTCCCCCGGCCATGTTCTCTTCTGGGATTATGCCTTGTTCCATAAATCCTCTCTTCCATCTTCTAATTCAGTTCTACTCTTGCATGCCTTCAATAATATTTGTTCTTCTCATAAGACTTTTCCTAGTTCTAAGCTGATGAGTTTTGGACATGTTTCCATTCAGAGGGTACCAAGCATCATTCTCTTATTTGTTTTTCTCAGCATCTGCTGCTACTTCTCTCCTAATGCTAGGTGGATCAAAGGGAACAAGAGAATACATTTTCTCAATTGGTGTGGGTATGAGGAATCCTGTCACTAGGCACACTGCTTCATTGACAATGGGTGGGTGCACTCCATTCTATAGTGGCATGATCTGCTACGGAAATACTCAGAGCCAAAACTGATGTCCACTTGAAAGCCTGATAAGCTGATATGAAAATGAGTATAGGATAGAGTAGAGTAGAGTAGCATAGAGTAGTGCAGAGTACAATAGAGTAGAGTAGAATAGAACAGAACAGAATAAGAGAGTTGGAAGGGACTTTGGAGGTCTTCTAGTCCAATCCCTGCTTAGGCAGGAAACCCTGCAGCACTTCAGAGAAATGGTTATCCAACATCTTTTTAAAAACTCCCAGTGTTGGAGCATTCACAACTTCTGGAGGCAAGTTATTCCACTGATTAATTGTTCTGTCAGGAAATTTCTCCTTAGTTTTAAGTTGCTTCTCTCCTTGATTAGTTTCCACCCATGGCTTCTTGTCCTGCCCTCAGATGCTTTGGAGAATAGCTTGACTCCCTCTTCTTTGGGGCAGCCCCTGAAATATTGGAAGACAGCTATCATGTCTCCCCTAATCCTTTTTATTAGACTAGCCATGCCCAGTTCCTGCAACCATTCTTTATGTGTTTTAGCCTCCAGTCCTCAAATCATCTTTGTTGCTCTTCTCTGCACTCTTTCTAGAGCCTCAACATCTTTTTTACCATGTGGCAACCAAAACTGAATGCAGTATTCCAAGTGTGGCATTACCAAGGCATTATAAAGTGGTATTAACACTTAACATGAATTTGATTCTCTCTCTCTGTTTATGCAGCCTAGAACTATGTTGGCTTTTTGGCAGCTGCTGCATACTGCTGGTGCATATTTAAATGATTGTCCACTAAGATTCCAAGATCCCTCTCACAGTTACTACTATTGAGCAAGTTACCACATATACTGTGCCTGTGGATTTTGTTTTTCTTGCCTAAATGTAGAACCTTACTTTAATTAAAAGAGTTGAAAGCAAAACCCCATCTTTTTGCCATCTTCAATTGAAATGCTAAATATTAACCTCACCTTGCTCAGCCTTTCCACTTCTGTGATTCCCATCTGGTCAATGATAATTCTAAAATCTTGGGATGCCTGTTTTTCTGCAGTCCCAGTTTTCACTCTCTTGAAAGACTTGTTGGGGAAAAGGACCCAGTTCACAATGTCCAAGTCAGCTGTCAGATCTCCTTCCTCATCCAAATATACACCTTCTATGGAATTATTATGAAATTGAGAACTTTGAAGGAAGGAGTGAAGCTGGAAAGGAAAGGAAAAGAAGAGTTTAGAAAGGAAATGTTCTTTGAAAAGATTCCTTGCTTTATGATGGAAGGAATCTGAACAGTTCTCTGTTCAAAACCCAGGTTCTTTTTTACTTTATACATGCTGACAAAATGGATTTCTGCCTAAGAGGCAAATTAAAGATAAGATGAGAATAATTTTGAATACATTGGAATATTATGAAACACATCAAGTGAAGCAAATGGCCTTGGTATTTCTTGATACACAAAAAGCCTTTGATAATGTAAATTGGCAGTTTATGATATTACAAATGGAACTGATAGGCTTTGGAGAAAGATTTATTAAAGCTATTGAGGCAATATATCATAAGCAATCTGCTAAAATAATGATAAATGGAGACTTGACAGAGTCTATTAACATTAAAAAGGAACTAGACAAAGATGTCTGCTGTCGCCACTGTTGTTTGTATTGACTCTAGAGGTGTTAAATAGAAATATCAGAGATAATAGTGAAATAAAAGGCATGAAAATAAAAAAAGAGGAATACAAATTACAAGCGTTTGCACATGATCTGGTCTTTATATTGGAGGAACCACTGAAAACAGTGCCTAAATTGATAGTAAAGATTGAAGAATTTGGGCAGGTGGCAGGATTGAAAATAAAGATAAAACTAAGATTTTAGTTTAGAATATCATAGAAAAACAAAGGAAAGAACTGACAGAGAGATTGAATATCTAGATCACAAATGAAGTAAAATATTTAGGAAAACAACTAACAGCAAGATGTGGAACACTTGAGAAAATTATTATAAACTAAAACAACAGATTGCAACAGACTTGAAAAAATAGGAAAATTTACAACTATCTCTAATAGGGAGAATATCTACAATTAAAATGAATATATTACCAAGGATATTATATTTGTTTCAGACAATTCCAATTCAACTAGGGAAAGAATACTTTGAGGACTTAAATAAAACAATATTGAAATATATATGGCAGGGAGGGAAGGCAAGAATTAAATTAAAATTGTTACAGGATACTAGAATAAGAGGAGATTTTGGATTACCCAATTGGGAATTATATTACCAGGAGGTAACATTGATGTGGGTGAAAGAATGGATTGTTTTGAGGAATACTAGATTGTTAACATTGGAAAGTCATGATTTGCTATTGGGATGGCATGCAATTTTATAATATAAGGAAAGTAAAACATATGGGTATTTTAGGAGACACTATATTCGAGATGCATTATTGTCAATATGGGAGAAAATAAGGAAACAACATTATATGAAAATACCAGTCTTGTTGTCAACTATAAAGGCATTTGCATATCCAATTGTTTTCAAAATGGAACACATAGTTAGATATAGTGAAATACTAAATGAAAAGGGTGAACCCAAAACAAAGCAAGAACTAGATGGGCAAGAGATAAAGATGGACTGGTGTTCATATGTGCAAATACATTCTAGATTTGATAAAGATAGCAAGACAAAAGGGTTTTATAATGAACTTACTGAATTAGATGAAATTCTAGCAGGTACTGATGAGATGATTAAAAAATTATGTGGTTCTTTACTTGGAGTGAAACTAGAAGAAGAACAAGTTAAAGAAACAATGATTGCTCGGGGAAAATTTTTTGGATATGGGATATATTTAGAAAAATGGCAGAAATTATGGACTCAAAACTATAAATTAACAATGTCGACAGCATATAAAGAGAATTAGTATAAGATGTTTTACAGGTGGCATCTACCCCCAGCAAGAATAGCAAAGATGTTCAAGGACAAATCGGTGAAATATTGTGTTGTAATGATGAGGCAGTCGAGGTGTTTGATCATGATCAACTGAATCATGATGAACTTTATTGGAATCTAGTCTTGCATTTATACACATTTTTAATTATCCCCCATCATTGGTTAACTTTGGTTACTGCTTAACTTTCGTTACTGTTTAGCATAATAGTAATTAACACAATTAATTATCTCTAGTTAAAGTCTAACATATGTTTACTTCCTCTCTCTAATCCTCCTTTAGATTAGTGACTTTGTTTGCCTGAGTTGTATTTGCTTGTCAACATTCTTTATCTGAGGTTTGCCATCCAAGATAGGAACATTCCTGCAATTACAACTCTACAATATTGGAAATGTCATCAGATACCTGGATCATATTACTATATGTGGTGGGCGTGTGGGGAAGCCAAAAGATATTGGACTAAAATTCTTACATCATTGGAAAAAAATGACAAAACAGCATGTAGACATGAAACCAGAATTTTTTTTATTGGGTGTCTTACCTGAAGGATACAGTAAAGAATTGATATATTTGATTATTAATGTTTTAACAGCAGCTAGAATTGTATTTGCTCAAAACTGGAAAAATGAAAAAAAAATTCCGATAGAAGAGGGGGTGATAAAGAAAATAATGGAATTATTTTGGCAGAGATGAGTAGATTGATATTGGCAATTAGAGAGCAAGAAGAAAAAGAATATTATAAAATATGGGATTTATTATATCAATGGTTAGGAAAATAGGGAAATGAAATATATTATAATAGAAATATAATATAATAGTAAATATAATACAATGACAATGATAAGTTATAATTGACTCTTATGGAAGGAATTATCATATGAATTTGAGGCAGGGTGGCACCTTGCGGCGGTGGCAACAACACATTGGGAAGCTCTACTTTCCCGACGTGCCACCGCTGCCTGCCCTGGGCTTCCTCAACCCTGCCCTCTACTGGCTCCAGGAAGGAGGGAACAGCCCCACCCTCTATGACGTGAGTGCCCCGGGAGGAGGGCAGCTTGGGAGGCTGATCCCTGGTGGGAGGGACAGACTGTGAACTTGCTGTCAGGCACGGCTACTACAAAGAGCAGCAGGCTTGGCTGAGCAGGATTCTGGATATTGGGCATGTGGTCAAAGCCCTCCTTCCTCTGCCTCCCCCTAGGTCATCCACGGATGCCATTGACTGTTGCACCGGACCGGTGCAAGGGGCTCAATGGGGTGAGCCTGCAGAGCCGGCACCTCGAACACCCCTCTGCCGCCTCTTAGCATCCCCCTGCTGGCCCCCTTGCTTCTTAGCACCCCCCTAAGCCATCCCACCGCCCCCCAGGGGCGGTACCGCTCACTTTGGAACTCGTGTTCTAGTCCAACCTCAAGCAGGAGCCCCTGTACCATTTCAGACATGTGGCTGTCCAGTCTCTTTTTAAAAGCTGCCAGTGATGGAGCACCAGTGGCAGTATGCTACTGGTTTGGACTGGTTCAGCTGAAACGGTAGTAAAAAAATAGCCTCCAAGGATCAGCTGAGAGGAGAAACAAGAGAAAAGTGCAGGATTGACCCTCCCACCCACCCTTGCACTTTTCTCTTCTTTATCCTCTCAGCTGATTGGCCCTGCAGGTCTCAGCTGGTGTGTGAAAAGCTGTGCGTGTGCATTAGGCACACGGGCATTTGGTGTTCGTGCAATCACAGAACTGGTAGTGGAACAGGTAGAATCCCACTGGTGTGGAGCACCCACAATTTCAAGTTGTTGAAATTGAAAAGCAAGTTGTTCCACTGGTTGATTGTTCTCACTGTAAGGAGTTTCTCCTTAGTTCTAAGTTGCTTCTACCCTTGATTAGTTTTCATCCATTGTTTCTTGCCTTACTTTCTAGTATTTTGGAAAATAAATTGACCCCCTCTTAGAACAGAAAATATCCCTAATAATCCAAAGCTATAGAGCCTCTCTAGACATCTCTATTTTTCCTAACAGTATTACTTATCTGTCACAGACTAAACTCAAGTTAACTTCTTGTTAGTATGACTTTAACCCTCTGCTAGGTCAACCATTCACTAGTACTGATAGCAGAGAAGAGGTCTCTACTAAAGTCATGCCAAAAATCTTAAGCACTGGAAGGATCATTACAGATATGTTGTGCATGTGTTGTGGGTGCATAAATAAGTTATTAATGCATCCATTTACAAAATGAACTCTAATCAAAAAGAAATGTCCAATCAAAAAGAAATACCTGCCAAGCCTTCAGCCTTGGAGCTTCCAGAATCATAACCCTGTTCCTCACTGATCTTTTGGATGTGGATATGTAAGCTGAATTTAAGGCCCTTGCTACAGCCCAGATGGTGCTGTCAAGGATGTAGCTGTCCAGAGCCTTGGTCTGATCAATCACCTCTTTCCTCAGAGCCATCAGTTCTTCTCGCTGTCTGCATCGTCTCCAGACTTTCACTGAAATAGCATGCTTAGTGGAAGAACATATAAAGCTTTTCTCTACAAAATCATGTAGGGATAGATAAAGGAAGTCATGCACCTCATAGCTTGCCTGTTTCCTTTTATGTATCAGAAATGAAAAAATGGCACCAATGTATTTAAAGGAAAAGATACTATACAATAATTCTGGACTGATATCCCAGTGAGCAGAGGTAATCCAGATCTTTTTTACAATAGGTTCCTGAACATATCGAAGTAGTAGTTGTATATATTTGATTCCTATCTGGAATGAATTAGTCTCTGAACCATAAACAAAGACATTGATTTTTTTCCACATGGAATGGAGTTTCGATTTGAAAGCCTTGTAATATGGAGTTGCTAGAAATGGTGGGTATTCAATGGCACAAATGCCATTCCTTAACATCAAAGAAGACATTGTCCTCATGAACCTCTCCCCCTGGTAAGTTTCTGGAGCAATCAGACCAACCAAGTTCCACCTGAAATGGAGGAGCAGCTTCACCATTCCTGAATATTGGACTCCTTCAGCCGGGAGCATTGGGTTGAAGAAAGGAAACTGAGTTTTATCTTTCTGGATCTTAGAAGTAAAACTGTAACTGATCTGAAAGGAATGGTAGATGATGGAATTTTGTATTTAACAAACAAAATGTCAAGCTTCCAAGTAACAAGCCCCATTTTTGGCTGACACAAAATGCATTTGCTCTCATTTCCATTATCAAACTCTGCTATTTATCTGCAGCATAGGACCACTGTTTCAAATTTGCATGATTGAAAACAAGTCTCCTATGAAAGGGACATACCTGTGGAGTCTTATAGGTGCCCAACATGGTTGAGATCTGGATGGAGATGCCCATCTCAGCCTCTTCCACAACAGCCACTGTGTTTCTCTGCCTCCCACAACTGTAGTTGGGGACATTGGCCTCCCCATCTGAAAGCAGGTCCAGCAAAGCCTCTGAAGTCATTTCTGCCTTGAAGAAGTTTTCATAGATATTGTAACCCAGGGTAATGTTAGGCAAGAGATGGCTATTCTGATTGACGTCCTTGATGGCAAAAAGGAAAGGTGCATATTTCCAATGAAATCTGGTTGTTTTTCTGCAGGTACAAACATACCAACAAATATAAGGTTTATTTTTTCCACAATTATTTTAACCAACTCGATTACAGTTATTTTTCCAAACAGTCTGCAATATGCCCAAATATTACCATAGAAATCTTTCTGGAACCCGCATATTGGACATTAATACAATCGAGAGAGTCCAGAGATATTTCATGAGAAGAGTCCTCCATTCTTCTGCTTGTAACAGAATATCTTATTCCACCAGACTTGAAATTTTAGGCTTAGACAACTTAGAACTATGCTGCCTTCGATCTGACCTAAGTGTAGCACATAAAATTATCTATTGCAATATCCTACCCATCAATTACTACTTCAGCTTTAACCACAACAATACAAGAGCACACAATAGATACAAAGTCAATGTAAACCACATCACACTTGATTGAAGGAAATACATCTTCAGCAACAGAGTAGTCAATGCGTAGAATACTCTACTCGACTCTGTGGTTTCTTCCCCAAACCCCCCAAATTTTAATCTTAGACTTTCTACGGTTGACCTCAAACCATTCATAAAAGGTCTGTAAGGGGCATGCATATTGTCCCTGTCCTAATGTACCCTTTGTATTTGTAAACATTTCTTGCATTAATAATCATGTTTATTCTTATATCTGTTATATAATACATGACAAAATAAAAAATAAAAAAATAGAAAATTTTGGCTTATTCAAATTTTGAAAGGCTGTCTCCTAGTTGGTTACCTTAACTTTACTTCTATTTCAGTCTTGAAATGTTTTATCTTATCTCTGCTGGATTGTTTCCTCTGTCTTAATAATGGTGGCTGATTTACCCAGCTAAGTTTAAATTTATTATTAGAATTTGTTTATTCTAGATGTGCAATAGGGACTCCAAGACAGAATCAGTAAGTTAGGAAAATTAGGAGATGAAGGGAAGAGCTCCTTGTTTGATCAGAGAGATGGAACTTAGAGCATTCATTGGAAATGGAATGACTCTAATGCATTGCAGGAAGAGTGACTTACGCAGATACTTTTGTTGAAGGACTTTGATCAAATGTAAATAATTGAATCCTAACTTTCATTGCAGAGATGATGCCACTAATGAAATAATCTCCTGGCTTGTAGCGAATCTGTGGGTCTACTTCACCCTGTTTCAAAGTCAGGAGGCATTTGGCTGTGAACATCCCACAGACTCGCTGTGGCCAGATAAGCAGCACAAGTAGAAGCCCCAGCAACATGACTTGTGCTTCTGGTTGAACCTTCTCAGTGGTGTGAAAAATTAGATGAAGAGAACCCAAAATATCTTCGAAGGATAGAAGCTTCTGGTCCAGCCACAGGACCAAAACCCAGTACCCGCTTGTCCTAAAACTACCCCCAAATATTTTGTTTTGTTTTGTTTCTAGAGCCAGCCAGCCAATATGTTTTGAGTTAGATCTTGACATCAAAACAGTTTCTGACATGTTTTCTGAATGTTTTCAGAAACATCTCAAGGGAGTCGACATAAAGGCAGGAAGTAAATTACTATGATTTGAATAACTGCAGAGAAGAGACTCTTCATCTGATTGAACATTGATTGAATCAAGAGCAGATGCCCAAAGGCAGAATTTGCAGATATGGTTCCAAACTTTGAAGAAGGATCAGTGAGGGACCCTGGGGAATTTAGCTACAAATCTTTCAATGTTTCTTTTAAAAAATCAGGATCAATTTTTGAAAAGGCCATGAATAGTGGCATATAGAAGACAGATTTTGCTAGGCTTTTTAGAGGAATTTACTGATAGGTTTTAGGTAGACTTCTGGCTCGGAAAGCTACCATGAAGTAGAAGACAGCCAGGAAGCCCTATGTCAGGCTACAGAACTTTTTCCATTCACTCAACTAGAATGAACTTCTGAAAACGTATCCAAATGTATCACAAAGGAATTCTTTGTTGAGATGAGACAATTCCTGTAGGAGTTCAAAGCAGCGTCTGAGGTCTCTCAGGCATACAGGGATACATAAGGGAGTTTAGAACCCCTCCCCTTATCTCGATGTGTATTTAGTGAAACAAAAGCCAGTATGTTAATTCCTCCCCACCCCTCTTGTAAGGAACGATCTTTTCACAGTTTCCCAGGGCATACCTATTTTCCCCACCCCACCCCCTTTTTAGAATGAACTATTCAAGAGATTCCCAAAGTACAATCTCACTGTGGAATTTTTATGATCTTCTCATCTCCTGGTTGTGCCTCTCAGAGGTGATAGTTCTGGCCATCTGGCTTTTCTCCCTCCATCGTATCATGTGTGGGTTATACAAATTTGATATAGGATTAAATATATTCAGGTTACATCAAGAAAGGATTTCTTTATCAGCCTCCCCCCGCTTTTCTTCTTCCACTGAAGAAATGACAGATACATGGATCTGACACCCACATAGCTAAGGGCAACATAGAACATGTGAATAGAGCCTTCATTATGTTCTAGCATGACATCTCCAGATAGTCAGTACATGTCCAACTCAGGGAATGGGGAGACATCCCTAACCAGATGTTGTAGAGGACAAGTTGGGCATAAGAACAAGAAAGAATGTCAGAATTGAGTAGGCTCTTCCCTAACCATCTCTATACTTTATTCCCTGGTTTTGTTGTTTTTTTGACCAACAAGGCTAATATACCTTAACTGTTTTAATCAAAGCAGTACGAATAACAACTGAGAAGATGTTGCCGAATGCTGCTTGTTGAAGAAGGCAGATGACTTTCCATGGTGGTCCAATGAATAGGAATGAAGTCAAGAAGAAAAGCAAGAGAGACATGAGGAGGATGTAGGTTGTAAGCCAAACAACATCAGCCTTTTATACATGCATTAGTGTAGAGGTAGGCAATTTATTTTTCCATAGGACCACATGGGAAACTGAAACTGTTATTGAGGCTTATGCCCCCCACCACTCTCTGCTACCACGATTGCCACTGCCACTGTGGGATGAACAGGACAATCAAACAGTCAGATGTGGTCTTTCGATCGTTAAATGCCCAGATTGACAATAGTGGATCAAGGAAAGGCCATGCTATGCCTATCAAAACAATCT